TCATCAGTAATCGTTTTCTCGATCATGTCCCTGAAACGTACACAATTGTTAGTCCAGTGACCATACATGTTGTGATACTTACAAAATTTTTTCCTTTTCATTGTTCAAAAGGAGGAATTTTATGATGTTCCGGAAGTGTAATTTGCTTAAGTTCATCTTCTGGTTATCTAATAATGCTTTTGTAATTTTACAGGCAGAAACAGAAGTTTCATTGTTAAAACAAGAGAAGCTGCGATTGCAGTCACAGGTAAAATTTTGTACTACTAGCGATTGAAGTTTAGCCAGTGACCATACATGTTGTGATACTTACAAAATTTTTTCCTTTTCATTGTTCAAAAGGAGGAATTTTATGATGTTCCGGAAGTGTAATTTGCTTATCTTTCAATAAAATATCGAATACTTTATCGGCTTTCGTTACATCGAAACTATATTTTCTATTCGATCCCAAAATTTGACATATATGATCTTAGGAATATGAACTTTCAATCTAACAGTTGGATTTTCAAAATTCACATTTAATATAAAGTTATTAAACGGTGTAACACTTAGTAAAAGTTACACCGGTGTCGTTTGAACCCTCCTCTTTTTTTAGACATAGTATTGCATTGTATTACTCGATTTATTGTGCTTCTTTTAAGTTAATTTTTATTTTGTTTATATTTTATTTTTGTAAACATCAAATCGGGTACATGTAAGTGAAGATGACCAGGTCTTGTGCTAGTAATATTATAATTTAAAAAAAAAAAGTTATTATTTTGATCTATGTGTTCTCGACTAATAAGAGTACTTTGAACGTTACGTTGCAATGCAAGTTTTTTATAATTTCATTATTTCATTTTGTATAGCCCCAAACCAGCTACCATAATAACCCCAGATCATCCCCATTAGAGACCTCACAAAAGACCCTAATCAACCCCACACCTTAGTTAAATTAGCCACCTAACATATAAGTCCAAATAAATCCTCAAATTCAAGTACGCATTTCATTATATGCACCATTTCCAAATCATTAAATCATACAAAATTAACATATTAGCAATCCAAATTCAAAAGACAACACACCAGATGCCAAGAAACACAATGAATAACAAAAACTAGAATAAGAAAATGTGAAATGAAATCATCCTCAAATACTTAGAAGCTACAGTTGTAGTGGTTGGGAGTGGATGTAAGTAATTTATATAAGAAATTATTGCTTAACATAAACATCTTTTCATGGTTTTACTAACTTAAATAAGAACTCTCATAAAAATTGAACATTGGAGTAAAATTTTATTGAAATTCTTAAATATGATGTGGCACTGTAGGGTTCACAAAAATTGGTTTAATAAGAACTCTTTTAAGCACTCTGCGTTGAATCAAATTGCTCTTATAAGTTTGTTTCAACAATCACATCCTAAGATGTAGCATAAGTTAATATAATATTTTCTTTTTGTTGATAACAATAATTATAATTTGAAGAAGGCACTATTGATACAAAATATATAACTTACGACGCACTTGCCCCAATTAATCATGACCCACATAGAGAAAGATTTACATAATTAATGTTACAATTGTTTCAATTTTTTTTACAGGAATGCAAGTAATAAATAATCCCACAATACTTTAGAAATTATTTATATAAGAAATGCCTTCCACGATTCCATTTGAGATATTCTCATTTCGATCAGAATTATCATCAATACGTTCAACAATTTTCTTCACATCTTCATCAACAGTCAAGGTTGTGACAACAATCTCCTCCACTTGAACAAACCTAGTTGTGTTTCTGAGTGGCCGTTTATTCGTTTGTGGATCACTCCCATCGGTAGGGGTGTAAGCGGTTCGAGTATCTTGTGAACTCAAACTGATCCAAACCAATCTAATGAATTCAGATAGGATTTTTTCAATATTCGGATCATACACAATTCAATTCGATCAAAATTTAGTACTGTACGGGTTTGATAACAGATTTTGTATTTCGAATCCGTTACCGACCTAACCTGATCATATATAATAATAATAATAATAATAATAATAATAATAATAATAATAATAATAATAATAATAATAATAATAATAATAATAAT